GGCACCATATGAGCTTTGGATTTTGATGAGGATCCATATTTTGGTAGAGGAAAAGATGATTGTGATGGCACTGGTGATCCACAGGTCAACCTTGTATGACCACTTTTCTTGCACCGACTACATGTCGATATCCTCTTCTCTTCACCCTTATACGTTATACGATCGTGATTTTTTGGTCAGCCAGGTAGCCTTCTGTCTATGACTGGTGGCAAAACTGTTTGTAAGTCATCTGGTATGTCCCACTCAGAAGGATGTGGAATATGGTAGACAATCTCAGCATAAGTTTGTCGATATACTTCTGTAGTGTAGCAATCCATAGCGTATGCGCTTGAATCATCTTGGTTTAGATGAAGAGAAACTTTTATAACATGACCCACGGATAACCAGATGTTTGACATTTCATACAACTACACGTCTTTGCATTTAGATCGACAAGCCCATTTAAGTTATTATCCAATACTTCAAACAAAGTGTTTGGACATGGTTCAACTCTCCATGACATTGACTTCACAACACGTTTCGTTATCTTTTTTTTTCAGTCCATGGTGTAACACGACGTTACAATGTTCCTGTAAATTTAGTAAAATCTATTAAATATGATAAGTTACGAATTTAAAGAAATAATACCTGCATGATTTCTTTTCTTGTAGTACCACTGTTGAATAGAGGCTCGAAAAAAACTCCATTAACATAGTAATGGGTAATTTTCGAGAATGACGATTTAGAGCGTTGATTGATTCTTCACTATTAGACGTCATGAAACCATATCTTGCTCCAAGTTGATGTACTCTTGACCATCTTTCAAACCCGACATCTTCTAGTGTTTGAGCACATTGAGGCAAAACACGTCTTAAACAATTTATATGCTTATTAAAATCCACTTCACGATAAGCTTTTACAGCCTTCCAGTATGTCCATTTGTGATTTTTATACCAGCATACATTGATTTTAGATTTTTGTACAAATGAACACCACAAAGTCTATGAAAAGCATATGGGAAACACCTTCTAACAACGTTGTCAATTGAGTTTGCCCTATTGTATATTATTGTCAGATTGCTAATAGGACCTATGCAATCCCTAAGATACCCCATAAACCATGTCCATGAATCAGAGGTTTCAGATTTGCCAACCCCGTAAGCTATTGACAATATCCCATTGTTAGCATCCATGACTACTACTAATAAGTTTACTCCAAGGTATTGACCTTTCAAATATGCTCCGTCAACTATAATAACTGGGTGCATGCAAGTTATAAATGAATGAATCTACAAAATAATAATATACACAAGATATATAATCATTTAAATGTGAAATGCATGTAACTAACAAAAACGAGTCAACAAAATTATATTGATTTACTAACCGCAACACCAATGGTGATAAACAACAACTCAAAGCGTCTATCTATATCTGTTTTGATATGAGTTACCGACCCAGTATTTTTTAGCTTTAAATTGTGACAATAAGCCGGCAATTGGGTAAACGATGCTTCTGGCGACCCCTCAATAATTCCAAGGCATAACATTTGGCTCTCCAAGCTTGAGAATATGAGATACTAATCTTGAACCGAGCATTCATGTCAGTCATAATTTCATGTCCCCGATATACCCTGCCATTCAAAAACATTAACTTAGCCAGAAAACCACCCAACACCTTTTTGTTTGCATGTCTATGGTGAGGAAAAACTTGGGTTCTTGAACATGTATGTTTATCAATAAAAGTCCTAACTTGAAACATTTCACAATCTTTTATCCTCTTTGCAATCATACGCCACATATAATTTTTTTCAATCATACACTTTGTTTCGAAACGATCTTTTCCTGATTTGTTAACTTTTAGTTAATAGCCATCTTCCACACATTTCGTATACAAAGCTATCTTCAAGTATTCCTTTGTATCAAAACAATCATCTTTCTTGATACGAATAACTTTTGTGTAAAAATCAACTGCTATCTTTACCTACTCTTCTTTCGGTATCTGAAGTAATTCTGGCATATTCCAGTTATACTCCTATGGCATTTTCTTCTTTTTCTTTTCTTCAGGGATTTCTTCTTCTTTTTCTTCTTCAGGGTTATATGAATTACAGAATGGATGTTCAACATGTTCATTCACAGTCGTAACTTCCTCCTCATTATCATCAACAACATCTTCCTCGGCGCGGCTGTTTCATCATCAAAATTCGGGTATTGACCAATATCAAAATCATTACACGCAGGGTCTGTTTCTTCTTTTGAAACATCATTAAAATCCGAGTATTGACAAAGCTCAAAGTTCGGGTATTGACCAAGATCAAATTTCGAATACTGACTAGTACGCACAATTTTTTCTGTTGGCTCATCATCGTCTAACTGGTTAATATGAAAACCAGAATTTGGTGCTGAAAGTTTATTGGGATTTGGATTAGGGAAAAGTTGTGGGTTTTGAGATTGTGTTTGGTATTGGAAATGTGGTGAAACAAAATTTTCTTGGTGATGAAATTGTGGTGGAACCATTAAATTTTGAGTTGTACATTATGAGCACCATAAACTGGGGTTGAATAACTTAGTTGATTACTACCCGCTACTGACCCAACTTCACTACTTCTAGGTTCAACAACATATAATGTAACATCATCTTGCGAAACACTAATGTAAGCAATGAATCGTTCAATATCTTCATTGTCGGTTAACAAATAAACTTTACATTTTCTCTGATAAGATAGCCTAAATCCACTTAGAGGCTCTAAATTCAATTTCTTTACAACACGTAACATTAGAATTTCATAAGTTAACTTTTTTAATGACAGTTTTAGTTGAAGATTCATAGGTAAAGGCATATATTGTAAAACACCATTAACATTCTCCCATGACCCTCCAAAACACAAATCTATCAAAACATGATCAACATTAGATGATTTCATTCTACAAATTGTAAATTAATTTACTAAACAAACGAGCTATAAACTAGATATCATCACTAACTTAGAGAAAACATACCTTTATTAAGTTGATAGTTGATAATTTGGGAGAGAAATCATTGAAAAATTATATAGAAATAAAATTATGTAAAAAAAATTAGAGATGGGGAAGGATGTCGTTGGATATAGGAACGGATTTCGTTGGAGAGAGTGAAAGATGGAGATGGAATGAGTTGCGATTTAGGGATTTAGGTTATGAGTTACTGCTGCTGCGTAGTTTATATACCCAAAACATTTGTGTTACGAAAATAAAAGCTGTTGCGAAATTAAAATTCGTGTTGCGAATTCGAAAATTGAGTTGCGATTTAGAAAATCTTGTTACGAAAAGGAAACTTGTGTTGCGAAAAAGAAATTCGCGTTGCGAATTCAAAATTCGAGTTGCGAATTTGAAATTCTGCGTTGCGAATTTTAAAATCGCGTCGTGAGAAAGAAATTCGCGTTGCGAATTTGGAAATTGTGTTGCGAAATTGGAGTTCACGTTGCGAATTTGTTGGTTATTTTCGCAAATCCAAAAAAAATTTGTTAAAATCTTATATTATAAGGTATTTTCGGTCACTGAAATTTTTTTCTCTCAAAATAATCATTAAAAAGCATATCCAGGGAATCCAAACAAACTAATTTCATCTTGCACCCCATCATTGTTAGGGGTGAGTATTCGATCGAGTCGAGTAAAAAAATTTTAAGTTATTCGAGTTGATTAGTCTTATTTTATAACTCAAAGTTGACTTGACATTTTTACGAGTCGAGTCGAGTTTATAAAATTTGAGCAGAGTTGAAATTTTTAATTTCTGTTTAAATTTAATTATAAATATTTATAATATTTTTATATGGTTTTTTTATAACCATAAACAATACATATATATTTTTTTTATTTTTTCATATGTTATATACATATACCATACATAGTCAGAGAGACTTGACTCAAACTTGAAAATCAAACTTGAAAATCAAATTTCTAATTACTACAAATTTCGAGTTATTCGAATTGTATTTTACAACACGATTTGAACTTGAAATTTTATCGAGTCAAGTCGAGGTTATGAAATTACAACTCGAAATTAATCCGAAACAATTTTTTTAATAGATTCGAGTCCAAAAAATTATTTTCGGAGTTCAGTCAAATTTTGTTTACCCTTAATCCTTGCCTTGCTCCTTTTTGGAAAGCTGGATTAGTTTCACTTGTTATTCATGAAATGCGGCTTCAAACTCGGAACTCCACTCCAAATCCCCAGCAAACACCCTTCATTTAATTTTCTGGGTGAGCTACGTACATCTCATGCATGTCATTTTCATTTGCCATTACTCCCTTATATATATATATATATATATATATTTCTTGTCCTTTCTCTGGGAGAATCCCAATCGCATTAATGCTTTTTCCCCTTTCAAGTTTCAACTTGATTGCTCTTAATTTCTTCCTCTCTCTCACTTGTTGTATTTCTTTCTAGTTCTCTGCAACTCAGAAACCTCAAAAAAAAAAAAAAAAGAATCCCCCTCGTTAACAATTCACTGTTGGTACAATCTTTTTCTTTGTTCTCTTTTTAATCTTCCCTCAGTGATAGGTTTTTTGTAGTGTTTCATCAATGCTGTATTTGTCAAACATAAATACATCCATACACTGTTTTGTGCTTACCCTCATATTTATTGAATTGCAGTGGTATTCAGCTTAAAACTCGCTCATCCTTGTTTCTTGCTTGTATCGTATGCACTCCCTGTTACATTTATTACGATTCCAATTTGCCTAGATAACATCAAACTCTTATTAGTGATAAATTTTTTTTTATTATTATTTGATGTTTGAGTTCGAGTAGAGTACCATAAATATTAGAGTTATAAACATTTAATATACAATGATTGAGTATGTTTTTTTGAATATATATTATATTTTACTTACCCTATATTAATAATAATAATAAAAAAATTAACTCTTTGTTTTAAAACCATCAATCTCTCTTTGTTTTATAACCATCTCTTTCACCTTCTTCTTCTACCCTTTTACTTCACACCATCACTTGAGTTCTGAAACATACTGATAAAGGGAAATGGGGAGGACGCCATGCTGTGATAAGAAAGATTTGAAGAAAGGGCCATGGGGTCCTGAAGAAGATGAGATACTCATAAACTATATCGAGAGACATGGCCATGGTAGTTGGCGTGCTCTTCCTAAGCTTGCTGGTAATTTTAATGTTTGTTGTGCGTATTCCAATGTTAATGAAATTTTATACGACGGGGGTTCTGCATTTGACAGGACTTCGTCGTTGCGGCAAGAGTTGCAGTCTCCGGTGGACGAATTATCTTAGGCCTGACATAAAACGAGGTCCCTTCACCGTCGATGAAGAGAAGCTCGTCATTCAGCTCCATGCCATTCTGGGAAACAGGTTTTCGTTTTTTTCTTTAGCATCAAAGGGAAACAATGAAGGGTTTCATTTGTTTAATCTTTTGCGTGGATTATTTCAGGTGGGCGGCCATTGCTTCTCAGTTACCAGGACGAACCGATAACGAGATCAAGAACCTATGGAACACTCACTTAAAGAAACGCTTACTCTGGATGGGTCTTGACCCACTGATCCACGAGCCGTTCAACCCTTGGGGTCCAACCACGGCACCACGTTCCTCTCCTGCCACTCGTCACACGGCTCAATGGGAGAGCACTAGGCTCGAAGCCGAGGCCCATCTTTCCAAGAAGTCACTCTTCTTCAATTCACCACCACCATTGTTGAAACCTGACCCTGACTATTTCCTACGCATATGGAACTCCGAAGTCGGAGAATCGTTTGGGAAATCGAACCAAGAAGCTAAAAGCGAGTGTCAAAGCCTGATTTCGCAAGCATCGTCGTCGATGAAATGCGGGTCGGTTTCGGGTGTCACGGTTGATGTTTACCCCAATATAGCAGGGTCTTCGAGTTCAACCCCGAAAAGCAATCGAATTGAGGATCCCATTGATGCATCTTTCTCATCCTGTTCGAACGAGTCCGAAGATTCATCAGACACTGCGTTGCAATTGCTGTTGGATTTCCCCATTAACAATGACATGAGCTTCTTGGAAGATGATAATTACGCCACACCCCCGCAATGTTGACTGAAATATGAGCCATACGATTTGTATAAATATTTTTCCCTTTATTGCTTGAATGTTGAAGCTAATTTTAGAGCCAAAGGGAACTATATGGTCAGGTTATATTTCCCTATTAAGGCCATATATATATCCTATGGAACTTTTAATCGGGGACTCTTTGCTTATTTTATCAACTTAGTATGTGTAACGACCCACGGTTCATCATGCTCTTGAAATCAATGGTATTCCATGCAAAAATTAGAGTTTGAAATTGGAATAAATTGTTTGCAGTTTTAAGCCAATAATTTATTGTTGTGATTAGGGGTGAGTATTTGATCGAGTCGAGTCAAAAAATCTTGAGTTATTTGAGTTGATGACTCGTATTTTGTGATGCGAACTTAACTTGAAATTTTTCAGGTCGAGTCGAGTTATTCAAGTTTCTATACAAATTTTATTATAATTATTTATAGTATTATGGAAATGATTGATTCTAATTTTTTGATTTTCTCTAATCATAATATATATATATTCTTCATAATCTTTAAACAATATAATGTTATTTAATGTATCAAATACAATCTAAAATTATAAAATATATTTACAATATTATATTTTAAAGAAGTTATTTTGAGGGTAAAATATCGATGAGAGTATAAAAGAGTCAAGGAATTGATGGGAAGAAATAATTTACAAACAATTACAGTCAAAAGACCAAATTGGGTAGAGTGCAAAGTTAAGGGACTAAATAAAAAAGAGAGTATATTTTTAGTAAAAAAAATAAAAATTGAAGTTACATAGATATTCTATAGTGGTATAGGAGCATGTGATTCAAATTTGGTAAAAAATGGACTAAAAATGAAGGATGAATTGAAGAAATAAAGAAATCATGAAAACTTAAGGGACTAAATTGAAAAAATTAAAAATCATAAAAAGGTGGAATTGAAAGCACATAGGTATTCTACGATGGTTTAGGAGCATGTGATTCAAATTTGGTTAAAATGGACTTAATATGAAGGAAGAATTGAAGAAATAAGGAAATCAGGGACACTCACAAAACTATCAAAATAGTTAGTCAAATTTTTGGTTTTTCGAGTAACTCAAAATTTCCAAATTTCAACTCTACCCAAACTCGAAAACTGAATTGATTAATTTTTCGAGTCGAGTCGAGTTTTGTTCACCCTTAATTGTGTTCTCATCCAAGAATAATATTACTTGGATTGTATCTATTTCTCAAGCTTCTCCTTTTCTTTTGCTTTCCTCAAGCTTATGAGAACAACAAAGAGATGATGATCATGAGTTTCCTGCTATTCTTTTTCCCTGATGAATTCTCAATTTTGAGCCAAATTTACAATAATCTAGTTCTCTTTTGGTATTTTCTTTGGGATTTAATTGCATCATATGTCTCTAAACTATGTCTCTCATTTTAAATTGGTCCTTAAAATTTTGAATATTCCAATTTCATCCATAAATTATGACTCTCATTCTAAATTAGTCTTTAAACTTTTGAACATTCTCATTTCATCCCCAAACTATAACCCTCATTTTAAATTAATCCTCAAACTTTTGAATATTCCAATTCCATCCACATATGTAATTAGTTTAACCATAATTTAACATAAATTTTATTTTTTTAAAATATAATAATATAAATTGGCCTAGCGATTTTATTAACTAGGGATACAATTAGTATATACATATAGTTTGGGATGAAATTAAAATGTTCAAAAAGTTTGGGGACTAATTTAAAATGAAGTTCATAGTTTGGGGATGAAATTCAATTTCTCAAAAGCTTAAGGAATGATTCAGAATATCAATCATAATTTGAGAACATGTGGTGCAATTAACTCTTTTTTCAATCATCTTAGTACGTACCAAAGGCATTTTATGGGTTGATTTCGATGAATAATATATACAGGAGCCAAAGGTTACTCATTATTCCATAATTTGATTTGATGGAGGTAGCGAATGATGCTTAAGTGCGAGGAATTGGGATTGATTTATTCCATAGTAAAGCATAATTTTTTACTAATACGAGAGGTAAGTATAAGATAATATTTATATAAAAAAATTCAACCTTTTAAAATTAAACATTCATATTTCTGACATTCAAAGTATTCAAACCTAGGACCTTAAAAAATAACAAAAATTTATTTACCACGAAGATCATTTGACTCATGCTAGAAAGATCAATTTAAATAAGATTGTGTCAAAAAAGATAGAACACTTTTTACTCTATCGTAGTAACTAATCTTAGAGAAGCTATGCCATGAATACCTGCTAGCAACAAATGCGAAACACCAAACACCACGGGAGCTTGAACTTTTCCAGAGAGTTCAATGTCGAGACAAGATCTGTAGATCGAGAGACCGCAGTGATCAACAAGCTGCAACAGTGTATCACCATCATTGCAATCGAGCTTGAGAGGGATTTTTGTTACTTTCGTGATCCTGGGTGATCTAAGACTTGTTTCTCTTTCAATTCTTTTTGTTAAACATTTTTTTACTTTTATAAATACATGACTTGTTTCGACATGCTTGTCTGAGGCTCGTTTTATATTGCGCAAGTGTTGCAGATATCGATAGATGTGACAGATCACCGGATGAACTTAGGGAGCACCTACAGTTACGAGAGCTACGATTGTAGATGAGATGATGTCTGGGTACCTAGACATGTTTCGAAAATCAAGAAAATAATTTGCATTTAGGATTATAGGAATATAAACTAAATAGGGAATTTTTAGTGGTATTCGGAAGGGTTAGTTCCTTTAAACATGTCGAAACCATAGACGAGTATGTCGGTACATATTTTTATTAGTAGAAGTCATCTTGTAAGGTCACAACTATTGTGAATCTTATCTTTGTGTTCAATCTCCAACCTTTTCTAGTAGGTAGTAGTTTACTTCCAAAGATCTTAGAGACCCGATCATCACCCGATATTGATTTATTTTATGTTCTTTAATTTCATTGCACTTTACATTGTCTTTATCTTATCTGCTCTTTAATTCAACTTGTAGTGACGTAGTTTTTATGTTTCAGACTTATTCAACTTCTCATCCTTGTACTATATGTGGGTTCGACATTTGATACGTAATCGTGTATTTACTTTATTACTAGTATCAACAAGTGTATACTAGCTCACATAATTTGTAGCTATCAAATTATTGGTATCGTTGTTGGAGACTGGTTTACACTGTTATTAGTTGTTTTTGTCTTGTTATTTTTTAATCAATATTATATCTCGACATTTCCCTTAGAATATTTCTTCCTAACTTGTTATTTTTTAATCAATATTATGTCTCGACATTTCCCTTAGAATATTTCCTAACTTGTTTTTATTTTACTTTGTGTCATATGTTTTTGTCGAGACATTTAAACGATGAATGATAGGGATCGAGCACTTTGAGAGCTCATTTTCCCGACTATTCCTATTATTTTTTGAACACTAGTGTTGCTTCGGAGCAAATATTTGATGACGCATATGAAGTTGATGCTTACACATCAATGCAAGCGCAACGAGCTATTGCCACCAACCTCCATTTCTTGTGTTGATTATGGAGAAGCTCATTTATGGTAAAATTATTGATACATGTACCACACGCCACACAGGATGATGGACTAACTCTTCTACTTGGACTTCGCGCTCACATAGAGATTGAAGAATTCAATGAAGGAAATCCATTATCCATTCCTACTTCATCTACTTGGATCACAACAACTCAAGTTGAAACAACTTCATGATCAATTAATGTCACAATCAGAGACAATCTTAAAAATCTTTGAAGTCCCTTAAAGAATCATTTTGTAAATATTATAAATTTTCAATATTTTATTGATTATTTGAAATATAATTTAAATGCATTATCTTTTAGAATTATATTTATTATTTTATTAGGAATTAAGATCGAGTTAAAACATTATTCTCAATTTATTATTATTTTATTATGAATTAGAATAAAATCGAAACATTATCTTTAGTTTATTATTATTTTATTCATTAGTCATGTTACAACAAGGACTCCTCACTCTATATAAAAGAGGCTCATCCCACCATTATTGTAAACACATCTTTTCTTGAATATAATACAACGAGAGTTCGTTTTTTCAAGAGTTGATTGCCTTGTGCCTTCGAAGCATTTTTCATCATTAAGTTCTTTCAAGTTCTTCATGAGAGAGATCTTCACAGTCTAGTTTGCCTATTCATTGCGATTAAGAGGGTTGATTAGAGCCGATTATCGAGTTTTTCTAATCAATTGCAATTAGGAGGTTCTATAGGACAACTATCCATCTATCTTCACCATCCCCATCATCATCATCATCATCAAATCGCCCACCATCACCATAGCCATCATTCACGCCTACTTCATACATACCAGGACAATTTCAATACAATTTCTTCATATCTTATTTATCTTTTATTCATCTTATATATTTGTTAACTATTATTCATCATCTTTCTAATATTCATAATCTTGTTTGATTTTCCAACAACTACAGTCAAGAACCCTAAATTGGCATCAAAACCTCTTTCTCACTCTAATCTCTTTCTTTGATTGAGTCTAGAACTCTAGTCTTGATTCTTCAATTTCGAGCAACTTTCATCACTTCGCTTCCATTTCTATCAATTATGAGGCATGTCGATACAAGGAGAATTATAGCATGACCAGCAACACGTATTTAAATTCCTACAATCAAAGGTGGAACGAACAACCAAAATTTTTAATCAAGAAGCTGGACATTTATATGAGAACAACCATGTGGCCACATTAGAAATGTATCCATCAATGCCACCAGAAATGTTGCGATAAGACAACCATCCTCAAGAGAATTACACTCCAAAATGCGAGCAATACTCAAATTTTCTTTCAAATGATCAAAGATGTTAACTTTTTTCTCCACCTATTGGTTATATCAAACAAGTCATGGCTATGTCGAAACAAAGACATCAACAATGTATCAAATAATGTCGCGATAAAATAATCATCCTAAAAAGAAATCAGACTCAATCAAAGGTCTACTAAAGAATACATTGCTAAGAACGATGCTATACTCCAAAGTCAAAATGAGTCTTTAAAGAATTTGGAAAAGCAAATTG